CCAACACCTCAATAACAAAAAGAAAAATAATCCAATTAAAAAATAGGCAGAAGACACGAATAGACACTTCACCAAGGAGGATATTCAGGCAGCCAACAAACACTTGAAAAAATGCTCACGATCATTAGCCATTAGAGAGATGCAAATCCAAACAACAATGAGATACCATCTTGCCCCAGCACTAGTAGCAAAGTTCAACAAGACAGAAATTAACAAATGCTGGTGAGGATATGGGGAGATTGGGACTCTCATACACTGCTGGTGGGACTGTAAAATGGTACAACCACTGTGGAAAGCAGTATGGCAATTCCTTCAAAAGTTGGAAATAGAAATGCCATTTGACCCAGCCATTCCATTACTAGGTATACCTAAAGAAGAGAGAGCCATGACAAGAACAGACGTATGCACACCCATGTCCACCACAGCACTTTTTACAATAGCCAAAAGACGGAAACAACCTAGGTGTCCATCAACTGAGGAATGGATAACCAAACTATGGTACATACATACAATGGAATAGTGTGCAACCCTAAAGCATAATGTAGAATCTGCAAAACACTGCATAATGTGGATGCATTTGGAAAACATTATGCTGGTCTGTTATTGTAAAAGTCAAGGAAAGGTTTAGATATGGAAAGACATTTTCTTTGTTGGTTACCAGGGGTAGGAGAGGAGGGGAGGGGAGGGAACACTGTTAGTTAGGTAGAGATTAGTACTGATTTGGGTGAAGAGAAGGGCAATGTACCAAATGCGAGTGATCAACATGGTAGCACTGAGGAAGAGGAAGATATTTTGAAGTACATGGGAGGTACAGACAACAAAGATGAACCCTTTTGCACATACAGTACTGCGTTGTCAGTGAAGGCAAACATGGGTATATGGGTGGATAGATGAGTGGACAGGTTGAACTATTTGGTATGTCTATGTACCAGGGAGTGTACCTAAGACCATGTATAGGGTTGGCAGACAATGGTCCTCTAAGTGTATTTGTATGCTCTGTAAGAATTTCCAGGTGTATAGTAGAGCTGACAAGGAACAAAGTTGTAGTCACTTCTTGGTCACAGACAGCTACCCGGAGGAACCGAGTAGTTGAACCAGTGGATTCGGGACCATAGTCGCAGGGGACATCAAGCTCAATTGGCATAACATACTACATAAAACATTGTCCTACTTTGGCAAGTAGTGACTGGGATCTTAAAAGCTTGCTAGCAGCCATCTAGATGTAATGATGGGTCTCTCCTCATCCAGAGCAAAGAAGAATGAAAAAAAAAAAAAACAGATTCATGGAAACAATTAGTCCTAGTGACTGGTACATCATGCAGTCTGCAGCCTATATGATTGTGAGACCAGAAGAACTAGATGGTACCCGGTTACCACTGTCAACCACTCGGAGGGGGATCTATGTAGGAGATCCTAGATAGGGAGAGAGAACAATGTGGAACAAAACTCAAAATCATTTGGAAAAAAAAAAAAAGGGGGACCAGGTTTGCTGGTCTGATACAACCTGGTGGAACCACTGACACTATTGCCCCTAGCTGCCCTTCAGGTCTGGAATTGAACCCACACTTGTGGCTTCCACTCAAACAAAAGACAGGCATATGAGTTGAACATTTATCTGAGGTAGATACACTCCTTGAAGAGAACAATCATTGGAGAAGGAAGGGCTGTTTATGCACAGGGAGACAGCTCAGGGGGCAGGAG